TTCTGCCTGAACTACCTGCAGAACTTTCCGCTGATCAAGGCGGAAACGATCAACACACTGTGCTTCAACGGCTTCACCAGCTTCCAGCAGCTCTCCCGACTGGACGACTCCGACCTTCCCTTCCTTCGCGACATCAGCCTCGATCAGAAGGCAGCTGTAAAGCGCGCACTAATTCGCTTCGGTGGCCACGCTAATGGCGACGGGCAAGATGGTGGCGGTGGTGCTGGTGCTGGCAGTGGCCAATTGAGCGGTAACGGTGCCAGCAGCAGCAGCAGGAACAGTCCCGACGCGGCAGCAGCAGCCTGTGCGGCGGGCAGCCTCGGCGCTGGCTGCAGCACCGGTACTGGCACTGGCAGCCACTCACTGGCGCCCATCGTCACTGCCACTGCCGGTTGCCTCGTCTTCAACGGGAACAGCATTACCATCAGCAGCGCTGGCTGCAGTGGCAGCGGCAGTGGCCAGCAGCAGCAGCTTCAACTTCAGCTACAGCCCAGCAGCACAGCAGGCACTAGTAACGGCACAAACGGCAGCAGCAGCAGCTCCGCGCCAAACTCAAACTCGTTCTACTCGATTAACGAGTCCGCCGTGGTCGTCGAGGTCTCCGCCGCCATCGCCGCCAGCAGCTCGACGGCTCCACTTGATGGCTCCAGCGGTGGTGGTGGTGGAGGCAGCCTGAGCAGCGGCAACATCGCCACTGGCCACGGCATCAACGACGACGACAGCAGTGCCACCATCGTCAGACATTTCAGCAATTCGGTCAGCGGCACTCTTAATTGTCAGCAGGCGGCAGTGGATGCTCTGCCGAACGGCGCACAGCTCGAAGACGTCGTCGTCGACGGCGACCACAGTCGTCCGCGGGCGGGAAGCACTGCCTCGGTCAGCAACACCACCACAGGATCGTCTGAGGTAATCGTAGCAGGCGCAGTGGGAGAAGTCGGCGACGAGGCAGGAGCAGCGAGCAATTCACCGCCGTCGTCCGCCTGCTCCTCTCCTCGGCTAATTCTCCTCGCGGGCAAGAACAACTCTCCGCCAAGTTCGACAAGCTCCATTTATCAGCGGATCGACCAGTTTGACTTGCCTGCCAGCAGCGGCAGCGGCAGCATCAACAACAACAAGCGCAGCCACGACCACTACGACGACGACGGCGGTGGTGGTGACGGCGAACGGGAGGACGAAGAGGAGGAGGAGGAGGACAGGGAGGAGGATGGTGGAAGCGGCAGCGCTGGAGAGCACGGCGACTTGAAATTAGGTGAAGCAGGAGCGACTGCCACGGTAGTGGCAGCAGGCGGCAACAACAACCTCGTCAGCGAGCAGCAGTCGAGCACTCGTTCAGGCAGTTGGAGCAAAAGACGGAAGCAGAACGAAACAGTTACAGCCACTCTAACGGCGCCGTCGTCG